AGGGTAACGTGGGGACAAAGACACATATGTAATATCTTAATCAATAAAAAATATATTTAAAAAAAAAAAGAGAAAAGCTTTCTTAGTGGTACCTCCACTTAAAATTTAGAAACTTGGTTAAAATTTGGGCATTTGGAAGATTTGGAATATCCTAGTTTTTAAATCACTTGGCCACTTAAGACGATGATTGTTTACTTATTTTTACTAAGAATACTTGAAGATACAGTTATGCTGAAAAAGAAATGAATAAATGAATTACTTTTTCTTGGTGATGTTTTTTCTGTGGTAACCAGGTGAGATAATGGATAACCTTACCCTCGAAGCTGGAGATGATGCTGGAAAAGTGAAGTGGGTGGACATCAGTGATAAACTCAAGCTTTATGCTAGTCACGCTCAATTCATCAAACTTGTGGCAGAGAAACGAGATGCACACTGGAGTGAGGACTCTGAAACTGACTGCCACGGGTTGTAGCTCACAGCCTCATGTCAGCCAAAGGCCAACAGAGGAGCAAGTACTGCAAAGAAGGCAGGATCACAGAACTCAAACGAGCAAGCTGGATTGGTAACTTGGAAATTATTTTATTCACTTTTAAAACGATTTTTTTTCATGTAGAAGGTTTTACATCAGAATAAAATTAGTAAATATGGTGAAATATAACATGGTATTTTCTGCTTTCTAGTCAAAAGAAACAAACAATCATATTTTATATATATTCAATTTAAGCATGCTTTTAACCAAATTTAAACAGCTTCGATGCTCTAAAGAATTGTAATCTGAATAAAGATAAATTTCTGATGAGCCCTGAGTTCTGCTTTCCATCTGGTTCTTGTTTGTCAGTTTTTTTTTCTGTTCCCCTTGCTCTTCTGTGGTCTGAAGGGTGTTCCTGCCACATCAAATTCCTTTAGGAGGAGCACCACCATCATGCAGTCTGAATTATCTCTTAATTATTGGCTTCAAATCTTGCTTTACATGTACTTGTTGAAGCTGATTTAAAAAATGGAAACTTTATTCTTGTCTTTAGAGCCGTCAGTTTTATGAGGAAATTTCAGCCCTCTTTTAATTAATAAAGATCAATAAATAAGAGCTGATGTTCTCATTTTCAAAAATTCTGAAGTAAAAATATGTCCAGCTTGGTTAGTGTGTCTCAGTGAGCATCAACCTATGAACCAGAAGGTCAGGATTTGATTCCTGGTCAGGGCACATGCCTGCATTGCAGACTTGATCCCCATAGCAGGCTCAATCCCCAGTATGGGGCAAACAGGAGGCAGCCGATCAATGTTTCTCTCTCATCCTTGATGTTTCTATATCCCTCTCCCTTCCTCTCTGAAATCAATAAAAATATATTTAAAAAAATGTGTCCAGGACATTAGTAATTTGAATTAATATGTATATTTATTTTATTCCACTGTAACTACATGTTATAAATGAATTAAAATAGATGTTAAAAAAGGAACTGAAATCAGACAGAGGGAAGTCTTTGGGGGTCAGTGCTTTTGTTAGGTTAGGCATATTAAGGACTAAAATAGGCTTTTGAGGGACTCACTGTTAATATAATTCCCAGAGAAAAGGAAAAGAGATGGTGTTTAGAAAATGCTCTTGGGAGCAGGGAGGAGGAAAGAAAACAACACTGATAGCAACTCCTGCCAACCTGAAGTGGGGTCTGTCTCAATTCCATCTTCATTCCTGTTGGACTACAGATGGGCATTTGACGAAAAGGAGGTTTGGGGGTAGAGACATGGTTGTTGTCTTTTCTTTAGACCATCATTTGCTTAATCTAGTTCCCTTAATATAAATTTATGTTGCTATGGATAAAGCTCCTAGATTTATTGAATTTCAAGTCCTGCCTGCGGTTGCCTTGGCAGGGCCAGACCAAATGATTTTTGTAGGCCATATGTGGCCCGTGGGCCTGATCCTCTCTGCCCTCCCCACCACCTCCCTGTACACCCTCCTGCTGCTTAAGACATTTGAAAACAGTATTAGGCTTACTCTGTAGCTAGAGGACAGAACTAGGGCTCAGGTAAATCACACAGTTTGGGATTCCCCCCCTCCCCGCCCCGATTTAGTGTAAAAACTCCTTTGGTGGTAAAACTGGACTGATCTGACTGGCAGGAAGCTTTTTCTCCTTGAGTGTGACTGTCAGTTTTGCTGAGAAGCATTAGAATGTTTGGTTTCCAGATGCTTGCATTGAACCTCTCTGGAAGAGTTACAAGGTTTATGTACAGTATTAATTTTCTAAAATCTGTAAACTTTGGGGTCAGTACTTTTGTTAGGTTAGGCATATTAAGGCTTGAAATAGGCTTTTGTTAATATAATTCCCAGAGAAAAGGAAAAGAGATGGTTTTTGGGATGCTCTTGTGCCTGAAAAGGATGACATTCTCATTGATGAGGGATAGGATGACCTGCTCCCAGCATGAAAGAGTCTGATCTACTTTTACTATTTGGCAGGAAGGAATTGCTTCTTTCTGGCACCATATAGTTCTCTAAAATTGAAATGGCTTACAAAAGCTTTTGAGAAGGTTTGAGCAATTTTCTCAAGAATGGCATTTACTTATGTTTAATAGTGTTTTTTGTTTTTAAAGATTTTTTATTGATTTTTTTTTTTAGAGAAGAGAGGAAGGTAGAGAGAAATATTGATGTGAGAGCAAAACATCTATCAGCAGCCTCCTGCATGCCCCCCATTGGGGATAGAGCCTGCAAACCGCCCTGACCCCTGACCGGAATCAAACTGACAACTTTTTAGTGCACAGGATGTCACCCAAACAACTGAGCCATACCAGCCAGGCTGTTAAACAGTTTTGATACATTTAAACTGACATTAGTAAAGACACTAGATTATATTAATACTTTATTTAAAGAATTACTAAAGCACATGGTCTACAGATAAATTTTTTGTGGCACTTTGGAGTTTTCACTGGAAATTTTCAAAATTTGCGAAAAGATAAAACTGCTACTATAAATTATAGATTGGATCTAAGTAGATAATCTTCTGATAACTGAGTATCCAGCACCATCTATAGCAAAGAAAGATGGGATTAAAATTTTAGTTTAAGACATTTCTGAAGGAGTATCTACTACTATATCACTAGGCAATATTGGTTGTGTATTTTTCTTTTTTCAATTTTAGATATAAGGAATATTTTTGTTTTTTAGAGACATTTAAATACATAGTAATAATAGATGCCATTGATCGAGTCTACACTATATCACTTAATCCTCACAGCAGTACTGTGAAGTTAGGTAGTATTATTCCCATTTCACAGATGAAAATGGTATTTAAAAAGAGTGCCCCAGGTTTATTCACTAAGGGATAGAACTAGGTTTGAATCCTGGTCTGACTGGTTCAAAACTTACTCTCCGTGTACCATATTCCCAACTAAGGTTAGGAAGCTTTTATGATTTGTTTAAGTATGCAGTTTGGACTTCATCTATTACTTAGCAGTAATGTTACCCGTATGTAATATAGTTATGGTTTGTGACTTAAAATTAAAGGCCATATCTGGTTTGACTAGCATTGTTGAAATGGTTTGCATAATTGGCCCAAAGGCAATTTATTTAATAATATCTTAATCTAAGGATTATTAGTGTTTGTCTTGCCACCAGGTATTTTTGAGATTAGAAAGCATTTTAAATTCAAATGGAAGCATATGCTAAACTTACATAAGAGCATAACTATCTAAAAATCTAAATATTTGGTTTAGGGGCAATCAGACAGGCAGGCAGAGGGCAGCTAAAGAGGGCACTTGAAAATTAGAACCATGTTTAGAGGCTAAATGCTACTTTGTCTTACAGTATAAGGACTTAAGTGATTGTATCTGTGAAGTTTAACAAACTGATTTTAAAATATATACTTTGAAGAAATCATTAGTATTAATTTGATTTTGTTTACATCTACTTCTATTATACTAGAGGCCTGGTGCACGAAATTTATGCAAGGAGGGGGGTTGCCTCAGCCCAGCGTGCACCCTCTCCAATCGGGGACCCCTTGGGGGATGTCCGACTGCTGGTTTAGGCCCGATCCCTGTGGCCTGATCCCTAAACCGGCAGAATTTTTTATTTTAAAGTAGGACTTGATCTTTATTTTTTAAAAATAGCTACCAGTGTCTTACCATTTATTGAAAACTCCATCTTTACCCTACTAATTTAATATGTTGCTGTTTTAATTTTCCAAATTCCCAAATGGTTTTATTTTTTTCTGAATGATCTGTTGCAGTGATCTGTGTATGTTTATGTGCCATTGCTATTCTGTTTGATTTATTGTTTCCATACAGTATATTTTTAAGTTACTTTAGGGAGAATGGACATCCAGAATACCGTTTTCCTGTCCAAGAATGTGATCTGGATGTTTTTCCATTAGCCTGCTCCCTCACCAATCTGGGGCTCCTCAGGGGATGTCAACTGCCGGTTTAGGCCTTATCCCACAGGGGAGTTGGACATCTCTCTCGCAATCCAGGACTACTGGCTCCTAACCACTCACCTGTTTGCCTGCCTAATGCCCCTAATGGCCCTCCCCTGCTGGCCTGGTTGCCCCCAATGGCCCTCCCCTGCTGACCCAATCACCCCCAATGGCCCTCCCTGCCAACCCAATCGCCCCTAACTGCCCTCCCCTGCTGGCCTGATGGCCCCTAACTACCTTTGCCTCGGCCCCCACCACCATGGCTTTGTCCGGAAGGAAGTTGGACATCTGGAAGATGGCCAGTCGACCTGGTCTAATTAGCATATTACCCTTTTATTAATATAGATTATATAGGATAGGATTGCAAAAATGCTAGGATTGCTTAAATGAGGGTGGGGGGGGGCTTTTTCATTAGGAGGAGATGCTCTTGGCAGACAAAAATACATAATCCCTATATCTGGACTGATAGCCAGCCATATGCACTATACTGCCAAATCAGTCATCACTAAATTGAACTGCTTTCTTACACCTTACACCAAACAGCTGTTGCCCTTAAAACCCCTCCTCAGCCCCCACCTTAGGTTCTTCTTTCACAGTTCACCCAGATTAGGTTCTGATTGGTCGGTTTCTATGCTAGTCAGCGTCAAAAGCTCTGCCTCCTAGGCAGCCATTGGCTCTTCTGGGAAATCCAGAGTGGCCCTGCTAACAGCTGTCTCTCTCTCCAGGCCTCTCGCTGGCCTGATCCACAGCCTCTGCAGCACCTGCTGATCAGGCTCTGCCTCTTTCTCTGGGCCTCACCAGCAGCTGTAGTGGTTGGTGATCAGGACTTGCCTCTCTCTGGGGCATTTTAAATTCAAATGGAAGCATATGCTAAACTTACATAAGAGCATAACGATCTAAAAATCTAAATATTTGGTTTAGGGGCAATCAGGCAGGCAGGCAGAGGGCAGCTAAAGAGGGGACCGAGAAGTGCACCATGCACTTCCTGGTGACCGGTCATCTGTCTGGTTGTTTAGGTTGTGACAGCCCTATTATTAGTATAGATCAGTGGTTGGCAAACCATGGCTCGCGAGCCACATGCGGCTCTTTGGCCCCTTGAGTGTGGCTCTTCCACAAAATACCATGTGCGGGTGCGCACGGATAGCACGATTGAAACTTTGTGGCCCATGCGCAGAAGTCAGTTTTCGGCCTGGGCGAGTCTATTTTGAAGAAGTGGTGTTAGTATTTGGCTGTGTTGCCTTGGTAGGGCAACGGGAGACCCGGCGCAGGCAGGCCGGGGGATACGCAGCGTGGGGGAGGCGCCAAATATCAACAGTACTTCAACTATATAGGT